TAAAACACACAGATCAAAACACGCCCCGATAGACCTGAATTCAGGTAAACAGCACTGTCGTCTGGAGGTGCAGGTCGGGAGACCCAGAGCTAGTCTTGAAGGTCCTCTGAGGCTCTGCAGCGGGGCCACCCGCACAGAGGTGTCCCCTCTCACCCCGCCCCGCGTTAGTCCCGTGGGTCAGGGCAGAGGAGGTGGTCAGTCTTCGCCGCTACCCTGTTTTGTCTCCCCACGCCCTTTGGAGCCTAGCCTTTGAAGGCACAGTTGTCTGGCCTGCCTCCCCCTCCCAGGTCTTGTCTGGGAGTTACCTTTGTTCCAGGAGAGTCCTTACACTTTGTCAGCTTCTCAGAAGTCTCTGAGACTCGGGACAGACCTGTGTTCCTTCTCTCCCACCTCAGACTGGCTCCCATGACAGATGTGAGAACTACAAAGGGTGGGCCCTGAATCCCACAGACAAAGCAGGGGTTTACAGCGTGGGGCCAGGTCCCAGGAGTCCTGTCTGCTCCAGCCCCTGCTCTCTCCCCAGGTTGCTTGTCCTGCCTGAGGAATGCAGCCTGAACGTCACCTGCCCATGTGAGGGTGGGCCTAGGGGTGCCAACTGCAGCTGCCAAGAGGACTTTGCTGGCCAGAGGTGAGTCTGGGGGGCTGGGAGCTGCAGGGGTTCTGGTGAGTGTGGAGAGCTGTTCTTCCAGGGCAGGAGCAGGGAGGCTTCACTCACCTGCTTATTCCTCACTGGCCTCACAGCTTGGCAGTCCATAGTTCTCACTTGAGTCCTTCCCTCAGGGACTTCTTTTTTTTTTTTAGTTGGAGTCTCACTCCATCACTCAGGCTGAAGTGCAGGGGCACACTCCCGGCCACCGCAGCCTCCACCTGCTGGGCTCCGGTGATCCTTCCACCTCAGCCTTCCAAGTAGCTGGAACTACAGGCATGCACCACCACACCCAGTTAATTTTTTGATTTCTTCGGGACTTCTAAGACCACTATCTGTTATGCTGGCCCCTGCTAGGCACTGGTTGCCTGGTTGTGTTCCCAATGGCGCAGTCCTCAGCCCACCTGTGTCAGGCCCCGCTGCGGAGACTGTAAAAGTGCTGATCCTGGGCCCTCCAGATGGTGGTGTCAGCCTCCCTAGGTTACCTACCTTGACACAAGCTCCCCGTCACCATAATGGAATGAGAGTCATTCTCGGTTACAAATGCTGGGATGAAGGGGGTGGCAGGCATGTAGATTATATTCAGCTTTGGCCATGTGGCAGGGTCCAACCAGGCAGGAACAGGGCATGGGGTCAGTGAATGGCTGAACTCTGATGCTTATTTGGGGGTGGGGGCGTTGGGGCGCGGGGGCAGCTGAGGGGGCAAAAGAGGCGCGAGGGGAGCAGCTTTCTTGGCCTCCTTCCTCCCCAGGTGTCGGATCCCCACCTTTCCCTGTGAGGTCAACCCCTGCTTGAATGGGGGCACCTGCCGGGCAGCTGGAGGGGTGTCTGAGTGTATCTGCAGCGCCAGATTCTCTGGCAAGTTCTGCGAAGTGGTGGTGAGTGAGGCCGGGGGCCTGGGACTGACAGAGGCCTGCTGGGACCTCAGTGGGATGGTGTGGGGGTGGGGGAGGGGTGCCACACCACAAGGCTGTTCCTAGACCAGCTCTGTTCGGGTGGGGAGTGGCAGGGCCCTTGCACGCCCCTACTCAGGAGTGTTTTCACCCTAGGAATACTTTGGGGCCGTACCGTTATCAGCAAGAGCGTGAGGCTCCTGGCCAGGGCTTCCCAACAGCGCCCAGGGGTGGCAGTGGGGACAGTTGGGCTGATCTGGGACCAGGATTCAGGGCCTGAAGGATCTTGGAGTTCTGGGATTTAGGTTCACAAATCCAAGAGCCTGTAATCTCCAGGGGTTTCTGAGCCCGCCCAGGCTTGGCCACTGTGAAGGCAGTCCCAGGCCCCCTGAGGAGAGACCCGGATAGATGGGGGCTGGCCAGCGCTGGGACCGTGGGCCTCCCTCTCACACCTCCCCATAAAAGGGTGGAGCAGGCCTCGTGGGGCAGGGAGAAGCAGTGGGTGCTGGTGGGAGGGCCCTCGGGAAGGGACGTCTGGGGAGCAGCCTTGATCTCCACAGGCTTCTGGCAGCCTGGGTCATAAACCACAAATCCCCTCTGCTTCTGGGGAATGTTTCCTTTCAAGTTGAACTTTACCACCTCTGGCTCACCACCCCCATCCCTCTCCAGGCAGGGGAGGAAATGGCTTTACAACTCCTCCAGAAGTGCCAGGGGTGAGGCTGGCGAGGGCCCCCTCAGGACTGGGACAGACCCTGTCAGCTCTGGGACTCCACCTCCAGGGCTGGGTGCTGAGGCTTGGGACCCAGGTCATAGCCGGCTGAGGCACAGAGGGAGGGCTGGGAAGTCTGAGACCCTGCAGCTCTGGAATTCTAGAATGCCATGATTCTGGTGCCCTGAGAATCTGTGACGAGACAGTGAGGCAGCTTGCTGGGCCCCCAAAGCCCAGTCTGAGCCTCCCAGGGACAAGCTGTTGGAGCAGCCCCCAGGGCAGGCAGGCAGGCCCTGGTGGATCTGACCTGCCATCTGCAGGGCTGAGCTTGCCCCGCTCTGCTGCACCAGACTGTTGTGGGGTCCATGAAGCCCCACACACAGTGCTGAGCTTGTACTGGGCATTCAATACATGCCTGTTTCTGTCTCTCTAGCCATAACCCCTGTGTGGTACAGGACTCACCTGGCACCCGTTTGCACACTCCTGAGGCTGGGTCTCTCCTCACCTCCCAGGGGAGCGTGCTTCCAGTTCCGATGCTCCCTGAGCAGGTCCTTTGTGGCCCCCCTTTCTCCTTTCTGCTGAGGGTCCTGAGGGGATCCCCTTCACTGTGATCTTAGGTTTCATTGCTGCATCTCTTGCAGAAGGGCCAGGCCCTACCGCTGCCGTTTCCGCTGCTGGAGGTGGCTGTGCCTGCAGCCTGTGCCTGCCTCCTCCTCCTCCTCCTGGGCCTCCTCTCAGGGATCCTGGCAGCCAGAAAGCGCCGCCAGTCAGAGGGCACCTACAGCCCCAGCCAGCAGGAGGTGGCTGGGGCCCGGCTGGAGATGGACAGTGTCCTCAAGGTGCCTCCCGAGGAGAGACTCATCTAGGGCAAGCTGGCTGCTGGTGCCAGCACCTGGAGGCCCTGGGCTGTTTCCATCTGGAGACCCAAGGAGGCTGCTTCCAGGGCCGGGATGCCACTGGCGAAGTGTTCCTGTGGCTGGCCTCCCCTGCCTCTGCCCCGTCATGGACTGAGGAAAAGGGGAGCAACTCAGGGAAAGGGAAGGGCCTGGCGTGGTCGTGGACTTCTCCATCTGACCTACTGGGTTCTGGGTTCTGCCTTGGCGAGTGTATGGCTGTGCGTGGGAGGACACGCATGGCTGCACATGGTGTGTTCAGAAGTGTGAGTGTGCGTGCGTGTACCTAGAGCCGTGTTAGCCTGCAGATTCCAGTGTGAGTGTCCTGAGGGGCCCGCGGGCGTGTCCGCTGCTTTTGCTGTGTGCATCGGTAACTGTGTGGTGGTTGCAGCTGATCCCAGGAGGAAATGGCTACACCATGAGATTGACCTTGACAACCCTGGGGCGGGGGCAGCCCAAGGCTGCACGTTCTCCAGGAGACCAGGCCAGGGCCTGCCAAGTACAGAGGTTCCAGACCCTGCGGTTGCTACCTCTAGGGGTTGCCCCTGCCCTGGAGGCAGCTGGAAGTCAGGGGAGGCCATTAGTGGAGGCCAAGTAGGCTCCGGGCTTCCAGAACAAATGCTCCTTCAGGCAGAACTGTTTCTGCCTGGAGCCAGAGTCAGTCACACAAGGGAACCACCGTCTGCCACCCATGTCTGTCCAGGACAGGCCCACAGGAGCAGAGGACAGACTGCCCCGAGCTTCCCACCACGCGGTGGTCGTCTGTCGAATGGGAGTGGGGGAGGCACCCTGCCTACCTCACAGGGCTATTGTGAGGATGAGAGAGGATGGCACTGGGGAAAGAACTCTGGAAGTCGTAAACTCCCGTCTGCTGTGAAGAACTGTCTGGGTGTCTTTTTAAGTGTGTGGAAGTGTTGTCTCCCTGGCCAGAGTGGTGGGAAAGGATGGGGCAGGCGACTTCCTGGGGCTCAGCCTGATAGAGACAGAAAAGGATGAAGGAGCAACCCCTTCAGCACCCCCACCCCCTCCACATGACTACCTTCTGGTCCCCTCACCTGCAGCCCTCTCTCTGTTGGGAGGATTCCGTGAGAGGAAGGAAGCCCCTAGGGTCATTTGCTGAGTACAGGAGCTCAGCAGACACTGGTGCTGCCTCTGAGCCAGGCCCGTCCTGCAGATACAGATGCAGGGAATTTGCTGCCTGCTTGCAGTCCCCTTCACACTGTGACCTCTGGTCCTGCTTTTGACCCGCCCTGCCCTTTTGTCCTTCCCACTGCCCAGGCCAGTACTGCCTGTGACTGTGCACTCCAGGTGCCGAGGCCAGGAGATTTTGAGTTGGTGGTTGACTTTTCCTTGCAGTTTCAGCCATAGAAGGCCCAGAAGCCTAATTTGGGGTGGGCCATGTGACAACTGGGGTACTAGGGTGGGGGTTGGGACTGGGGCTTCAGCAGAGACTGAGATAGAGCTCTGAATGCTAGGCTTAGAGGCTTGCTTAGTCCTTACCCTGCAGGAGTTGGGGCTACCTTTCCCCCAGCTTTCTCCAGGAGCCCTGAGAAAGCAGGAGGTATCTGGTACCATCAACTTAGTTCCCAGGTTAGTCTAGTCAAGTTGAGGGTTTGGAAAACCTGCTGGTTGCAGACTCTTAAAACACTTTAAGTGGAACCCTAACCTACGGATGGAAGCTGCCATTCTTTTTGGTAGCCTTGTCTTCTCCCTTGCTCCTGTGGCTTCTGGGTGTCTGCCACTCTCAAGGGCAGCTCTGGGAGGGGGAACATGGCCAGATGACAGGTGGATGGGGGTGTATTTGACCCCACCATGAGCAATCGACTGGTCCAGATCTCTCTGAACACCGGTGTCCAACAGAGGCTCAGATTCTGGGACTCTGCTCTTGCTAATAAGAGACCTGTGGGGGTGACTTGCCAGGTGTCCCCTTGGACTTGTTTTGTCCTGGAGCCTGGTGCTGTCCATACCGTTGGTGGCCTGCAGCCTGCTCTGTGGCTCTAGCAGGCTGAGCAGGCTGTCAGCAGCTCACCTTGTGCTCTGCTTGTGTGGGCAAGAGGGTGAACTGGCATAGATCCCTGAGTGGCACTGGCCTGGGAGGGGCTGGGGCTGATCCTTCTCTCACTGCTCTGAGCCTGATCTCTGCCTCTATGGGAGGGGGTGATGAAGATGGCTGAGGGCCCACGGGGGCCTCCCGTCCTCCCAGACCCTCAGAGCTTCCTCAAGGACACAGAGATGCCAGCCTTTCCCCCAAGATTTTATTGAGTGCACACACAAAGTCCACCCTGGGTTCGCAAGTTTCATCCAGCAAGTGAGGAGACAGCACAGCACCCATGAGGATGTGGTGTGCTCACCATGGCCAGCACAGCTGGGGGCCTTGGGGTGTGCCTCCTTCCCTGGGGCCACCCAGCCCCTGTGGACTGATCTTCTGCCCTGTCCTGGATGGGGCCTGAATTCTGTGCAGGATGGAGGATGGGACAGGAATCTGTGTGCAAACGCCTATGTGCTTGGGAGGTGCCACATGGCCTAGGTGTGACACAGCACCCAGAGAGCACTCCTGAGCCTGGGACAGACTGCCAAGATGGGTCATGGCTCACCAGGAAGGGCTGCATGCACAGAGGCAGCGGCCTTCCAGCCTCTCGGGGAGGGGACTCCCTGGGTGATGTGGACCTCCAGAGACCCCCGTGGCCCATCAGACTCCTCTGGGTAGACTGTGTGTCTGACCATTCACAAATAGGAAATGAGAAATGAGGTCAAAATGCTCACAATTTCCTGCATGTCTCAGATGGTTGTTTTCTTAAATGGTTGGCCCATACTTCAATTTGGTTTATGGAAATGAATCAATTTCAAGATTCATCAAATCAATAAGGTAAAAAGGAAAATAAAGATAAAAGAAACAATAACAAAACGTTTCAATCTAACTTTGGTGATGTCGGCTTCAGGAATTTCTGTGCTGGCCAGAACTCGGCAGGTGGGGAGGCAAGGGCTTCTAGCTCTCCTCCAGCCTCTAGGCTGAAAGTGGCCAAGTTTGTCCCCTGGAAAAGGTGGCCCTGGAGAAGGAGTTCAGGGCCATGCCTGGTTCCAACCTAGGGAATCCAGGCAGTTGTTCCTCCACATCTGTCTGTGGCATTCAGCTTGGCCTTTGAGTTGAAATCTGGCCACTTCTCAGCTCTGCTCATGAAGCCCCAGGTGATGAGAGGCTGAGCCCTGGCTTTGACAGTGACAGGGAGGCTGGAGATATCAGAGTGACAGAGCTGGACAAGGGCTTAGGACTCCTCTTGACACGCTCAGATTGGTGGGTTTCAACTTTGCTTCTACAAATCAGAGTTGCTGGTGCTCCTGGCCCCCATGGGCCGGGCTTGGCGATCACAGGGGAGCCCCAGGTCCCTCAGCCCCCGACACTGCCATACCAGAAACAATCGAAGTTTGAGGGGTGGGGCAGAGACTCCCAAAAGAATGAGTGTGCACTTGCCGGCGAGGGTCTGGAAATGCCCATCGGGTACCAGGTCCTCCAGCTTGGGAGGAATCCTGACTTCAGACCCCAAACCACCCACACCTCATGCAGGTAAGCTCACCCTGGAGGTAACACTGCCACCTGTGCCTGTGGAGGTGGGTGTGCAGGGCTGGCCTGTGCAGGCAAAAGAGATCCAGGCAGGGGAGCCTCTCGGGATGTTTCCAGAGGGAAGGTGGGCAGCACGTGGTCTGGAGCAGGCCCTGGCCCTCTGATCGCGTCAGTGCAAAACTCACCCAGGGTGTCAAGGAGAGGTGGTGGAGGCAGGACAGACACCCAGGAGCTGGGGAATTCCCAGGCTGGAACCAGCACCATTCCCCAGGGCCAGACTTCAGGGATGGGCAGTGTGGAGGGGAGGAGGGGCAGATGGGGTCCCATCCCTTCTCACCAGCAAGCCTGGGCAGGAGCAGGGAGCCTTAGAGGCATGGCAGTGGACGGCATGTGCTCAGCCTCAGCCAGCCGCACCTCACAGGCCCGCTCATTCGAAGGTCTCCCACTGCTTCCTGAGCTGCTCCACTGAGCCCGGGGCTGGGGCCGGGCTCGGGCTCACATCTTGCTTGGTTTTCCGTAGTAAATCCTCAAAGGGGTCTCTGGTCTGGTGAGGAGCTGAGGGTCGCAGTGCTGGCTCCAGGCCCTGGATGGGTCTGGGAGGCAGGAGTGGGGGGTCTCCAGGCCTCAAGGCCAGCCCTTGCTTGGCCTCAGCGGCCCTGGCACTTGAGCGGGCCAAGGGTAATGTTCGGATCCTGGAGGGAACAACTGCTGGGGGGCCCACCGGCTGCAGGGGGCTGGTGTGGGTGCCCATGGGCATCTGGCCAAAGAGGTTGGGCATAGAGAGGGCAGCCAGGCTGGGTTGAGATCTATGAGGGGCGCAGAAGCCAGCACTGGACAGCAGGAGGCTGGGTGCAAAGGCTGGCCCCAGGGGAGTGGGAGGGGCCCTGAAAGGCCCGGCTGGTGAGGAGACAAGGGGCGGGGTGGGTGGGGCCGCTGGCATGGATGGGGCAAAGGGGTTGAGTGGTGGCTGTG